AAGTAATATATGTATATGTGTATATATATAAGTAAATATACGCATATAAATATATATATGTGCATACATGTTCACGTGTATAAATTTATATGTATAATATATTTATTTTATATATATATATATATATATATATATATATATATATATACAGACATGGTGCAGCCATGAAGACATAAAATGTTCACCTGTGTGTGTTTGTGCGTGTGTTCGTCCATGCACATACGTGCGTTAACCACTTGTAGTTGGTAATATGAATGGTACACTTGCCTGTATAAGTATATACTCTTCGCATGGGTGTGTCAAAATAGACAGCCGCCTGGCGCAAGGCCATTATAATTAAGATTCGAACTCACTGAAGTTGCAGAGGCCTTTTCTCGAATATATAGAGGTTGCTTTACGCTTTCTCACTATATATATATATATATATATATATATATATATATATATATAATGGCTGTCCATTCGTTTTCAAGCATAGTTACTTTCTTTGCTTGGTGCTTTCCTAAGCTTTCAAATGGCTTCCAAGATCTGTATTTATTTTAGCAACAGACTGAAAAAATGCAACATAGGACTCGATAGTGTCACTGTGGACAGTTTGGACACACACACACACACACACACACACACACATATACATATATATATATATATATATATATATATATATATATATATATATAGATGGAGGTTATATTTTCGGAAGGACAGTTTTGACGTTAAGTCACCACAGTGTATATATATATATATATATATATATATATATATATATATATATATATATATAGCGTGTGTGTATCTGTTAGCTTTAATCAATTTTTAATTTCTTCACGTTCGATTAAAAACCAATGAATGTTCCTTGTTATGTTTTTATATTACTATTTCAATGGTTCTAATAATTTTTCTTACTTCCGGTTCGTATTTGGAAATATAATTCCTCTGACTAAGCACTTTTGGCTGAAGGAAGTTAATTTTACAGTCTTATACCTTGGTTTTTAATCAAACGGGCATTGTTTCAGATTAGTAAAGGGAAATTTTGCTAATATTCAATCAGTAAAAAAAATAGTTTCATAAACAACAAAAAGTACCTCACGGAATGTGCTCCCTGAGATGATTTTCGTTCAAGAGATCCATCGAAAGGGAATCCATGCGTAGGTATTATTGCTGTGGGCATGGTGACTAAAGATTTGCTAAGCGAAGGAATTCAAATCGCAGGGCCATCTAGTCCACGTGTTGGATATGATTTGATTGCGTACATTGACGGTCAGTCACTCTTATGTCACTCGAGCCTGTTAGGAATGTATTTTAATTATGTAGAAACAGAATATGCACAAGTTCGCTGGGTCTAGACTAACGATCTTGGCCATAGCATCACTGTAGAGATATATAATACGGGTTTGACACAGAAGGCGATCTGAGACAAGTGAAAACTTGTCGACAACACCGGAAGACACGCGTTTTTTTATTTCCCAATTTTTATAACGTTAAGCTGGCCAATTTCAAGATGCTGATCGCAAGCAAAACCTTTTTTCATTCATTGTGTTAGATTAGATATTGATATATCATGGCAAACAAAACACCAAAATTAATAATGATAATTGTATATTTGAGAGAAAGCTTAACATTAGGTTAATTAATGTTCTATTCATCGCTCAGTAACGATGTATTCTAAAATAGTTTGGCCTCACACATACACACACTTACTCTCTGTCTCTCTATCTCTCTCTCTCTCTCTATATATATATATATATATATATATATATATATATATATATATAAATATATAGCTCGTGCGTATGTTTTTACCTAAATTCGAAGTATGAGCAGAAGCGTTAAAACTAAGTGCGACTGTCTGTTTTTCATGCTTCAATCCAAATATTCTGGCATTAAGGTTTCTTTCAAGAATAAAAAAGATGTTGATGTGTGGTATTGACTTCAGTGTCTACACGCTATCCCAGATGTTGACATGCAGCATGACATAAAACTATATTTTGTCAAATATATATATATATATATATGTGTGTGTGTGTGTGTGTAGACAGAGATAGAGACAGATAGATATAAACAGAGTGAGATAGATATATATATATAAAGTTATGAATAGACTGATACAAAATTATATATCATTATACCATATATCAATCTATCTATCGCTTTATATATATATATATATATATATATATATATATATATATATATATATATATATATATAAGTGAACATAGAAATCGACCCTTATATAAAAGTGAACATAGAAGTCAACACAGTCTGTTTCATGCTAGAAACAGACTGTCGCCTCTAAGTGTTGACTTCTATGTCTACTTGTATATTTACACACGCTCTATCTCTGATATTGATTACTTTATCCCATAAATATAGCATATATTAAGACTATATTTTTTCATATATATATATATATATATATATATATATATATATATATATATATTATAAGAATAATACAATAAAACGGAATCATCTGACATTGCTACCAATAATGCTCATATTGACCAGCATATATAAATAGTAGCGATATCACTTATTACACAAGGCCTGAAGATTTGGTTCATGCGTGACACAAATAGTAACCACTAGGTTTAGACCTCAGTATAAACTCTTATAATTACAAATGCTCTATTCCTGAATTTTAGCACTTTTAACAATATATATGGAAAATATTTATCATTTTATCATATATATATATATATATGTGTGTGTCTGTGTGTGTGTGTGTGTGTGTGTGTGTGTGTGTGTGTGTGTGTGTGTGATTTTGTGTGCCTCTATGTGCGTGCGCTTGTCTTTGTATTTAAACATACATGTTTGCCCAGCTGTTTCAGTAGAGAGATATATCTCTCTGTGGTTGTGATTTGGTCTCCAGCTGATTCCTGAACATGCGGTTGAAGACAGGAAGCGTAGCACTGCCTAAGATGAGTTCCCCTATTAAGATTATGAAACGAAACTAATTGTTCTGGATCGGTGGAAAATTAGTTCATCGATGACGAACTTAAAATAAGATCAATTTGCATAAATTTGCATATGTTAACATGTAGGTTATCCAGCAATCTATTAGACGATTGCAAGTGCTTCCAGTCAAATGCGGGTTTGCAACAATGTAATACGTAGAGTTTTGTAGGCACCTTTATAGAGTCATACGGGAGCGAATATCTACTTGTATTTTTGTGTGTATGGTTATTCTATGAAGTTCGGTAGTGATAGATAGATAGATAGATAGATAGATAGATAGATAGATAGATAGATAGATAGATAGATAGATATGAACAGACAGAGGGAGATAGATAGATAGATAGATAGATAGATAGATAGATAGATAGATATGAACAGACAGAGGGAGATAGATAGATAGATAGATAGATAGATAGATAGATAGATAGATAGATGAATATGAACAGACAGAGAGATATAGATAGATAGATAGATAGATAGATAGATAGATAGATAGATGATAGATATGAACAGACAGAGAGATAGATAGATAGATAGATAGATAGATAGATGGGTATGAACAGACAGAGATAGATAGATAGATAGATAGATGAATAGGTATGAACAGACAGAGATAGATAGATAGATAGATAGATAGATGGATAGATAGGTATGAACAGACAGAGATAGATAGATAGATAGATGGATAGATAGGTATGAACAGACAGAGATAGATAGATAGATAGATAGATAGATAGATAGATAGGTATGAACAGACAGAGATAGATAGATAGATAGATAGATAGATAGATAGATAGATAGATAGGTTTGAACAGACAGAGATAGATAGATAGATAGATAGATAGGTTTGAACAGACAGAGATAGATAGATAGATAGATAGATAGGTATGAACAGACAGAGATAGATAGATAGATAGATAGATAGATAGATAGATAGATATGAACAGACAGAGGGAGATAGATATGAACAGACAGTGATCGATAGATAGATAGATGGACAGATAGATATTAACAGACAGAAATACATTGATAGATATTAATAGACAGAGATATATACTTATTACCAGACGGTGATAGCTAGCTAGATAGATATTATCAGACAGTGATAGATAGATATTACCATAGATAGATAGATAGATATTAACAGTGCTATGTAAATACATATAGGAAGTTAGATTGGTTTAGATAGATAGATAGATAGATAGATAGATAGATAGATAGATAGATGTAAAAAGATAGTTATTGATAGATATAAAAAGATAGTTATTGATAGATAGATAGATAGATGTAAAAAGATAGTTATTGATAGATATAAAAAGATAGTTATTGATAGATAGATAGATAGATGAAAAAAAGATAGTTATTGATAGATATAAAAGATAGTTATTGATAGATAGATAGATAGATGTAAAAAGATAGTTATTGATAGATATAAAAAGATAGTTATTGATAGATAGATAGATAGATGTAAAAAGATAGTTATTGATAGATATAAAAAGATAGTTATTGATAGATAGATAGATAGATGTAAAAAGATAGTTATTGATAGATAGATGTAAAAAGATAGTCATTGATAGATAGATAGATATATGTAAAAAGATAGATAGATAGATATATGTAAAAAGATAGATAGATGTAAAAAGATTGATAGATAGATAGATAGATGTAAAAAGATAGTTATTGATAGATAGATGTAAAAAGATAGATTGATAGATAGATAGATAGATAGATGTAAAAAGATAGTTATTGATAGATAGATAGATAGATGTAAAAAGATAGTTATTGATAGATAGATAGATAGATAGATAGATGTAAACAGATAGTTATTGATAGATAGATAGATGTAGATAGATAGATAGATAGATGTAAAAAGATAGTTATTGATAGATAGATAGATATAAAAAGATAGATGTAAAAAGATAGTTATGGATAGATAGATGTAAAAAGATAGTTATAGATAGATAGATGTAAAAAGATAGTTATGGATAGATAGATAGATGTAAAAAGATAGTTATGGATAGATAGATGTAAAAAGATTGTTATTGATAGATAGATAGATGTAAAATGATAGATAGATGTAAAAAGATAGTTATTGATAGATAGATAGATAGATAAAAAGATAGATAGATAGATATAAAAAGATAGATAGATAGGTGTAAAAAGATAGTTATTGATAGATAGATAGATGTAAAAAGATAGTTATTGATATATAGATGTAAAAAGATAGTTATTGATAGATAGATATTAAAAGATAGTGATAGATAGATAGATAGATATATAAATATAGAACTACATCGATAGATATATAAAAAGATAGTTTTCGTGGATGTGTATCTGTGTGTGTGAATAAGATGGAGCTTTAATCTATGCTATATTTATGGTTAAATGTGCTCAATATTAGAGACTGAGCATATGTATATGTAAAAGGAGACACTGAGGTCAAAACTGAGTAGCGACAGTCTGTTTCAGTCTTGAACGCAATCCCCTCCATATATTAACAGAATGATATAGGCAAACAGCAGATTTGATAGACGTATAGGTATTCATAAAACGTTATATATATATATATATATATATATATATATATATATAGAGAGAGAGAGAGAGAGAGAGAGTGGATTAAAATAACCTTCAGATATCAATAGAATACTTGAATCGTTTTGATTGGCTTTTTATTTAAAGCCTGATTATATTTTCAGATTGGAAGATTTTTTATTGGCGATAATATTAAGTTGCTGATAGAAATTTCTCTAATTAAGGAGAAAAAGAGATTCATTCCTTTCCCACAGGTATTCTCGCGTAAGCGAATATAACAAACGTGACTTGAATTGGAACTCGGCTCTCCGATTTCACATTCAGAGCCATTACCCGTTACATCACCCACACATCCAAGCGTACAATAGTTTGTATTCCCAACCGGTCACCCACTAGGTACTAAACAAGGCCCATGTTGCTTATCTTCGGTGTTACTAGGAGAACCGGTGTTTCAATGAATAGAAAGAATGTTTGTTGACAAAGCATTGTGGAAAATCTTCCTGAGACCGCCATGATTTGCCAAATTAACTGTCATGCAGTAAATTTCGTAAATCATATAGACTTATACAATAGATGGCGCTATCGATTAACAGAAATTCTGATAATGGCAAGAAAAGTTAATTCGATGACGATTTGCTTGACCCTGCGCTTACACTGACGCAAACAAACAACAGACTTTCTCTCTCGAATCAAATATCGTCCCAACAGGTCCACTCAACTAAGACATTTTCCTTTTTTATGAAAATCCAATCAATACGATTCAGTTTTCTACCCTGTCGTAACCTATTCTCAACGGTCGTCAGTGTTCATTCTCTCAGATCACAGTTTCGAAACTAATACACTGAAGCCTTTTCTTTCAGTCATTCAGAGAGTGCCTCTTTAATCAGATATGAAGGACTTAAAAGAAACGTCCAACTACACAATGTGTTTTGTCATAAGGCACTTTTTAAAAAGCCATAGCACGTGAGAATTCTTAAGAAAATATATATATATATATATATATATATATATATATATATATATATATATATATATAATCTCCTATCTCCAGAAGTACATTCAAATGAGAGTATTATTAGTACAAAAGGCTTGAAGATTGCGTTCAAGCATAAAACAGACTGTCGTCACTTCAGTGTTCAATCTTACGTTAATATATATGTGCTGGCTTATCCTTTCCGTGCAAAGCTCGCAGCCAGATGTGTCAGAAAATTCTTAATACAGATGCCCGCCCGACCCACAGAATCCACCGGGGTTTATACTGTAGCTCTGCTGGACATTACTTACAATTTCTAGGACTGAGCATATAATCTAGAATGATTACTATTTTGAACAAAGCACGCATGTCCAAAACTTGGTCACGATGACTTAAGAATTCGTAATACTACTATTTCAACTACTACTACTACTACTACTAATAATAAATAAATGATAATAATAATACACACACACACGCACACACACACACACACACATATATATATATATATATATATATATATATATAAATATATATAATATATAAATATATATATATATAAATATATATATATATATATATATATATATATATATATATATATATATATATATATATATATATAAATATATATATATATAAATATATATAATATATATATATATATAAATATATATATATATATATATATATATATATATATATATATATATATATATATATATATATATTATATAGTGGTTTTCAACCTTTTTGCTGGAGAACCTGAAAGAAACCTTCCAGTGGCTCGAGGAACCCCTGTAATAAATTAATTGTCTTATGCAAAAGAAAGCTTTCAATTATTAAAATAAAATAAAAATACTCATCTTCAGATTTATTTACAAAAAGTATACGTCCATATGCAATTTTAATCTTGCTTCTACGGCTATCATACATGTATTAAAAACTTCAGTTTAAATGGATTACATTTATTTTCATTAAAAATTCAATGAGAAACTTAAGCCTGATGTTTCTTGCACAAATCTTAAATATTGGGCCGTGTTTTTGATAGACACACACGAAATTCATCTTCCACACATATCTGCACAGGAGAATTAAAAATTACTGTCAATCTACTTGTGTAAATTATGGCGGAAGCCCTGGGCATTATTGGCGGAACGCTTGGGTTCCGCAGAACCCTGGTTGAAAACCATTAATATATATATATATATATATATATATATATATATATATATATATATATATATATATATAACGTAAATTAAACGAAAGTGACTTAATATCATTGTTGTCATTGATATATATATATATATATATATATATATATATATAGTGTAATCCGTTGGTATAATCCAGGCAAGTCCTATTAACACAACTGACTCACAAAAGAACGCTCAACTCTTATTTTCATTAAACAGAGCAAATTTTCTTTACAAATGGATTAAGATACCTTTAGTAAAATAGTCATTTACTAAAGGTATCTTAATTCCAATTGTCAATGTATATATATATATATATATATATATATATATATATATATATATATATATATATATATATATATATAGTTGTAGGTAGATAAATGAAACGGCCAGATATAAGCAATATATATATATATATATATATATATATATATATATATAGGTGAGTGTGTACGTCATTAAACAAAAGTAAACAAAAGCAGTGATCAAAGTGAATAGTCGCTATATGCCGGATACGTCAGTGTAAAGTACTCGTTAACCATTACTCTGTACTAAATCCTTTACATGCCAGCATTATTCTGAGACACGATAGGCGTCAGATGTACTTTTGTATTTAACTGCGCGTGCGTGGGCAAACATTTTCAACGCACATATTAATCCATATATACATATATACAAAACGCGTCACTAAAAAGATGATGCACTTTGACATTATTTTGCCTAGCGTTGATCTGATGCATAAGAATATAAATATCATATTCTCCTTCCATACATATATATATATATATATATATATATATATATATATATATATATATATATATATATATATGTGTGTGTGTGTGTGTGTGTGTGTGTGTGTGTGTGTGTGTGTGCTTCCTGTTCCTTTAGCGCAAATCTGAGTTTCAAGCACGTGGTAATTGTCAGGCATCAACTGATAATTGTGGATTTTTAGGAACAAATGTAACTCAATTATTTTAGATCGATACATGTTTCAATATTAACACCAGCAGTCATGGCATGCTACTATATATATATATATATATATATATATATATATATATATATATATATATATATATATAAAAAGAAGGAAGGCGAGAATATTCTTTTGCTTCAAGGTGTTAACATACACACAAACATATATATGACAAACTTAATTATTTAATTATTTAATGAAACGTGTATGAATATATATATATATATATATATATATATATGTGTGTGTGTGTGTGTACACACACACACACACATATACATATATATATATATATATAATTATTTATTTAAAATATGATTCCAACTCGCGACATAAGTGATCACATGTTTCAAAACAAGAGTGAAAATTATATTATAATATATATATATATATATATATATATATATATATATATATATATATATATAAAACTACCAAAATAGAGGCTATATAAAAACAGTCTATAGTGAATATATATAAATATAAGTATGAATATGCAACTTCCTATAATGTTTATATATTGATTAATAAATCGATATCTATAATATAGTGGTTATATAGCTTTCTGCTTTACATTCGACCAGAAATTATATATCGTTTGATATATTTATATATATTATCCATCCCATATATATATATATATATATATATATATATTGAGAGAGAGAGAGAGAGAGAGAGAGAGAGAGAATTAATGAACATATTATTCTTTGTATACATGACGTGTGCGCGTCAAAAATTTTGAAATTACAAATTTTTGTATATATATATATATATATATATATATATATATATATATATATATATATAAATGTTGTCATCTCTGAGGGTTGGTAGTGGAGCCTCTATTTTTCTAAAATGCTTCCGTGACATGCGTTTCTAGCCGGCTTTTGGCGAAAGCGAACAGCTGGCGCCTCATAACCAGCTGCTTCAGGTAAGCTGGAGCTCGCTAGCATAGGATGTAAATCCATCTATGGGGAAGGAAAACCCAGATTTAAAAACGCCGATGACGTCATATCCAGACATGGAAATGTCTACGGAAGTAAATCCAGACTGAAATCCCGGAGGTGTTTGGCTATTAACATTGACAACTTTTTGGCCCAAATGTGATGTCCTTCATTACTTTGGATCCTGTCGGTACGTCCGAGAGATATGGGGTGCTTAGTCAGGGCAACCCACGTTCTTTATAAAGAATCACCAAGGTTTGTGCCCTGAAAATGTCAGTCTAGTCTCAATACCAAAGGAGTGAATTTTGATTTGATCCAACAGTGCACTGCCATCATCTCATGAGATAAATCTATGTATCTATCTAGCAATGTATGTATATATGTGTGTATGTATGTCTATTTATACGATAAAGCTATAATAAAAATGAAACGTGTTAACTTCATAAACGTTTCATATTTGATATTTATCCTGTTATTCTATCGGATTTCAATCCATAATTGATCCTAATATATATATATATATATATATATATATATATATATATAGTTTATATATCTATATATATATCTATATAAACATATGCAAACATAGAGAGTTAATAACGTGAAAAAAAATAATATAATCAAATTCAATTATACAAAATAATAAA